TAAAATTTTTTGATTGAATTTTACTTTTTTTTTTTCACTTTTTATTCATAGGTGTGGAGTTTAAAACTTGGATCATCACTGCTAAAGTCACAGTCTGCCAACTTAGCTTGGGCACTCAGCACAACACAGCCCTTAGTGCCTTCCCTCCTGTCAGCTCTTACCAATGCCAGCAAACTTGTGCGGTGTGAGGCCATGGGCTGTGTGAAGGAGCTGACCAAAATTGTAGGGGGTGGTTTGTCTCAGGACAACCACAACCTGTTGTTAAAGACACTTCTCAAGCATGATGAGGAACTTATTGCTGATGAGAGGTAAGCAATTTCCTGATATCCTGTATTTGGTGGCATTTAACCCAATGCCGATGCCAGCAGTGCTCTGTTAATGAAATGAAATAATGAAATATATTTTTTCTTAGGTGATGCTGTTGTATATTATGATATGTGTATGATTGTGACAAAGATTATTCTCCTTTTTTCAGCCATTGTTCACTGATACTATCTGAATTTGGGGACAAACCTTCTTCAAAAGGTTTGCAGATAATCCAGGGGTTGCTGGAGGTTGTGACATCTGAGCATATATCACTGCATCTTAAGGTTCCCATTCAATATATATTGATTGGCATTACCAATACAGTAAGTTGTATTTTTTTCCTTTATTTCTTTTGTACTATGTGCTTTATCATATGTTAATTGATTGATGCCAGGAGGGCATGTACGTCTCACTTTTTTACCATTTTCCTTGATTTTTAGATAGATTTAAAAAAAATACTATTAGTATTGTAAATAACATCATAGCAGTCATACTGCATAGAATAATAGTAATTGTATTTCACTCCTTGACAGCAAAACATTTGTAGAGCCATAAATGTATATACAAAATTCACAAAAACAAAACTAGAGTGGACAGAGCTTGCCCTGACATAAGCGGATTAATTTTGTAAAACAGTAAAAATTTGCCCTTTACTTTATAATCTTTCATTTTGGTTATTTCAGTGTGTAAACACTGTATCAAGGGTAGTGACACTACATGCTAAAGTTACTTTCTCTCAACAGAGTGTGCTGCTGAATCTTCTGCCACTTGCCAACAGCATATTTGTGAAGATAGCATCCCTAAAACCTGATGCAAAGTTAGATGTTCCAAGCTCACTTTCTCTCTACTACATTCTGCTGTGCTTCACCCCAACCACTTCAGGCGTTCTTGAGACTGAAGCTGGCTGGGATGTTTTTATAAAAGCTATCAACTGCTCAGCAGCAGTGCTGAACCTTCACAAGGAAATTGTGTCTCCTCAGAGCATATTGATGGACCAGGTGAGGATAAATTTTTTTAGGATTCACTGTCTTTATAGTTTAATCCCTTCACGACGGGTGTCGCTGTTAGGCGTGAAAACAAACTGCTCGAAAACTGGCATGCGGCTGTACGCGGCGGCGGCATGCCAAAGCATGGCGAGCCAGTGATTCAGCCTGATGTATCGAACTCACGTGCTCAAAATCAGCGTGCTGACATTGTTTGCCAGAGCGCAAAGTTTTTTTTTTTTTTTTTTTTTTTTCTTTTCTTTTCTTTTTCTTTCCTTTTTTTCTTTTTCTTTTTCTTTTTTTCTTTTTCTTTTCTTTTCTTTTATTTTATTTCTTTTCTTTTCTTTTCTTTTCTTTTCTTTTCTTTTCTTTTCTTTTCTTTTCTTTTCTTTTCTTTCTTTTCTTCTTTCTTTTCTTTTCTTTTCTTTTCTTTTCTTTTCTTTTCTTTTCTTTTCTTTTCTTTTCTTTTCTTTTCTTTTCTTTTCTTTTCTTTTCTTTTCTTTTCTTTTCTTTTCTTTTCTTTTCTTTTCTTTTCTTTTCTTCACCTGTCACCATTGGGTTAAACACTGCAAGTTTTCTCACTTACTGGTAATACCCATCTTTTTTTATCTGTTAGGGACCAAACTTGAGGGATAGAATTTGGATTAAACCCTTGTCCTTTCAAGGACAAGGGTTTGTTGGTTATTCATCTAGCATCAAATTCAACCAATCATCAAAAATTTATTTCAGACACTCATACTGCACTGAGTCATGTTTCTAGTATTTTTCAACACAATATTAACCCAGTCATGAAGGGAGGTTAATGATACCTAATTATTCCATGGTAGACTACAGGAAGGTGTCTTTGTCATGTGTGATCAAACCTGTTTTTAGTTATACAAACTAAACAGCTGTACATTTATTTGGCCCTGGCTACATTTGTTGAGAAGCAATAATGATGGAAATGTACCATTATGAGAATTTCAGCTGAAGGCCAGGGTTACAGAAATGACTCGCCACTAGTGCACAAATCTCTTGGAGGGTGATTAGACTCAGTGGGTATTTAGGATGGTGCCTTTGTATTATTTCCATTGATAAACGAATGGGAATGTACCGTCTGTAAGCCATAACTACAAGAGTGCGGGCTCATGGAAGGATGCTGTTACCATTCTCAGGATCCTATTCCTGGCCACTGTGACTGGTGGCACAGGGTGTATTACAGGAAGAAGAAGAAGAAGAAAAAGAAAAGACACAAGTCACAAATAACAAAATGTAACTTATTGTTATTATTATTGCACTATTTATGAACTACCTTGAGAGATGATGTGGAGCCTGTGCAAAGAAAACAGTCTATTCCTGACTTAATAAAGCAAATCATATGACAAATATAGAGATTGAAAATGAAAAAAAAGCCATAAATGCTTATGCAGATAAAGAGAAAATAACAGAAAGGGGAGGCATTGAGTTTTGTCACCCCAAAGGAGTGTACTAGGCCTATAAGCTGCACACCCAGAGTGGTCACTCAAATAAGCCTAATGCATGTATTTAAGGCCCTGTGTGGGCAGTGAAGCACTAGTGTTTTGCACAGAGGCAGTAAGTGTTCTGGATCTCTTGATTGAAAAGTCCTCATCGTCCATCCACTCGTACCTTTTCCTTTGATGATTGCCTTTTAAGTGTGATGCTCCCCAAACTTGGTTTTGGCCTTCCAGTTTGACTCTATCTTGTGATTTTGAATTTACCAGCATTGAACCTCCTATTGTTTTCACTAGCCCATTTACAAATGGCTTGTAGATCCTCTTTAACCCATTGCATCTGGTTGCATCATGGCAATCAAATCAGTGAGCGGCCACTCTACCAGATGGCTGCTTGTAGGCCAGGCACCCGCGAACATGTGTGCTTGGTGACAAGACTTTATGCCTCCTAGTTGCAAAGTTGTTTACTCTTTACATAAGCATTTTTAGCTTTTTGGCCATTTTCCAATGTCCATATTTGCCATTTGATTTGTATCATCCATATGGTAATAATTTTTTTTTTTGCAGACTCCAATAATCTCGCAAGGTAGTCTACAACTCAGTGCAAGAAAAATAAGACTATCTAACATTATGTTATTTGTATCAGTTTTCTCTATTTTTACGTAATATTCAGTTTAGTACAACTTGCGTCGCCATTCATGGTGCCGGGAATATGATGCTGAGCATGGAAATGGTGTGGCTTTCATAGAGCTGGTGCTCTCTCAATCATCACTCACAGACATTTCATTTCACACTCGTACATTGATGGGAATAACACAAAATCACCAAATAAAGTGAAGTAAAGTAAAGTGAACCTCCCAGTTGGTTTGTGCACTTGTGGCAAGTCTTCTCCATCACCCTGGCCTTCAGCTGCAAAACTCACGACAGAGAGAGAGAGAGGAAGAGGAAGAGGAAGAGGTAGAGGAAGTGAGGGAAAGAGGGAGAGGGAGAGGAAGAGAGGGAAAGAAAGAGAGAGAAATGGAGAGAGAAAGAGAGAGAGGGAAAGGGAGAGAGAAAGAGAGAGAGGGAAAGGGTGAAGGAAGGAGAGAGAGAGAGAAAGAGAGAGTTTTAAAGTATTAAAGTTTTCTTGTCATAGGCAATTTTTTTTGCAACATTTCAGGTCATGAGTCGTAAATTCTTCACAAGTATTGCAACAGAGGAGGTGCAAGCCAGGCTTTGGAGCATTCTCATCAGTCGTGTAGCAGAATCTGAAAACCCATATGAGGCTGCCCAACTACGTAAAGGGCTAAGGAAAGTGAGCCTGGATGCAGGAGTGATCATCACCAAAATAGAAAGTCTCCAGCTCTCCACAAAAGCCACTTCCATCCGGGCAGCTCAAGCTAAGAGGATTAAGCAGTGAGTCTTCCCTATCCCTTTTTCACTGTATGAAAGCGATATCTAAACTTCAGTCGGATTAGTATGCAGTGGTATATTATAATATTTTGCTTCTCTTGTAAGCCTATAGCATATTGTTGGATTGTATGTCTAAAACTGATGGAAACATCAGTTGCTTTCTGCCAAAGATTTTTACAAACTAAACCTTTTATTCATTTAGAAAAGTTCAAAAGGATCAAGAGAACAACTTGCTGTCATGGAAGAAGCTGGGTCTGATGCTTGAAACCATTGGTGTGATGGCATCCCTAGGTCGCCCCTGGCTCTTGGTTGGTCCTTTGTGCCAGTGTCTCCATCAAACCTTCACAAAAGACCTTGTTATCACAGAGATTGTGCAGCAGCAGCTTCTGTCTGCATTGCTTCATCTTCTCCAGAAGTCCATGGCAGAGAAAGGAGAAGGTTAGAGTTGTGCACTTATTTTGCGGATACCATTTGCCTTTATTTTTTATGTATTTATTTATATATTTTTAAATTTTACTTACTCATTTTTTCTATATATTTTCTCCAGACATTTCAGAGAACTAACATTTAGTACTATTAGCAGTAATTTAGTATATAATTGTCATAATATCTGTGTTTTCTAGTGGGATAAAGACAGTGTTTGGATAATACTCATGTATCACTATATTTATCAGGTGAAATATTTTGATTTGCAAAACCTTTCACGCAGTTTTCTCCTTGCCAGACATCAGCAAAGACGTCCAATTAAATGTTGAACTAATAGTCCAGTGCATCCGGTCCTCTGCAAGCCCTGACACTCACCGGCGTGCCTTGCTGGTCCTTGCTATAGCAGCAAAAATATTCCCTGTACGATCAGCATTTGCAAGTTTTTTTTAGATTTGTTGTAACACAGTCATCATTTACACTGTATCATTATAGTTGACATTGCTTTTGGTTCGAAATTCCTATATATGCTGACATACACTAATTTATACAAAATTCCACCAGGATGTTGTGATGCACAATATGATGTCAATCTTCACCTTTATGGGTACTTCTCTTCTGAGACGTGATGACTCGTACTCCTTTCAAGTGATTCACCAGACTATCCAGAGTATTGTTCCCACACTCATTAAGGTAAGTCATGCCCAATTTATCTTGAGATGCCATAGAGAGATCATATAACTGATGAAAGAAAGCATCAATTTAAAAGTGTTGTGTAATAGTTATGTTTATTTTTACTGATTAATTATTTACAGTGTGAAAAGAAGGAAAAGCTTCAGGTTAAACTTGCACAAGTGTGTCAAGTTTTTGTTGATGCTCTACCAGACCTCCCTGAGCACCGCCGCCTGCCTCTTTTCACACAGCTTGCAACTACAATCGATGTAGAGCAAAATCTGTGGCTGCTTGTGGCTCTCATGTGTGAGTACACTTTATTTCCTGGTAATATTTTGAATTACGTTCCTTGTTTTTTTCTTCTTTCTTCACCATCTTTGCATCATCATCATTGTCAGTTTCATCATTTTATCTTTGCCATTTTGTCATGTCATTGTCATTGTCATGTCCTTATTCAGTTTTCCTCCTTTATTCTTACTTTATTCATATGTTGATATAGTTGTAAGAAATGATTGTGATTTTTGTTTGTCATTAATTTGATCCACTTGACATCAGGTGACATCCATGTTATCAAGGGCACTGCAAATGAAGCTTCAATGCCCAAGGATGAGGAAAGAAAAGGAGTGCCCCAGAATGTCCAATTTGCCCTGATGCTTACTAGCCAGTTCTCTGGTGTGACACAGGTCCACGCTTGTTGTAAGCTGATGGAGTACATAATCAACCTCCCAGAAGAAAAAGGTGGGTGGCAGTGGATAAAACGGTGATGTTTTATGTTGAGTGATATTTTGTGGTGATTCAAAGTATCTTCATCTTTTTGCTAACACTAAAATCCTGTTTACCAGAATCAAGACTATTTGCAAAAAATGTTCACAGTTCTGTTCACCATGCTCTTTCTTTTTTCTTTTTCTTTTTTCATGTGCCTTTTTCATTATGAATGGGACACATGGTAATGCCCAACCTTTTCCTTACAAGTAAAGTCCATATTTCCCCTATATCTAGGAAACACTCTGACTTTGTGAAGAGAGGGCATTACTTTATCAAGTGTAGATTTTCAACAAGAAAAAAAAGTTATTCATTAAGAACCCACACTATTTAAAAAATTACATAGGTTACTATGATCTAACTTCAGCCTTAGAGGTACTTGAGAGAAGGGTAATATCAAACAAATAAATGTAATTAAAATACTTCCTGATATATTAAGTAACAGATCATTACACACATTAATTTGCATCCATCTACAATATCAATCAAACTCTCCAACTGAGGTTATTCCAACCTGATACCAGTCCTCACTTGTCCTTCTCTTCCTCTCTTTTTCTCCCTTACTGAGTAATTTTGCTTATAGGACCTCTGAAGTTGATCTCTCCCATACTTCTTATCCATAGCACAAAAAAAACAGTCCTGAAACAAATAAAATCTTTCTTTTCGGAACTAACCAAAATATTTCTGACAAACAAACAAATTAAGTATATTCATGCCATTATAAATTATCTGAGTAGTTTTATGATGACATCGTAATCATTTTTATCATTCCTAATAGTTAGTGTAATGTAATAATGAACATAAATAAAACTTCATGCAAAAATAATAAAATAAAATCGTTATGAGAAAATAATTACATACTGCAGTAACTTACATAGCTAAAGATTGATTAAAATTGAGGTATACTTAAGATGGAGCTTAAAGACTAAGTAAATGAGGTATACAAAGGGGTGGATTATAGACGAATTGTAGGGTCATTCTAGCTTTAACATCCCCTGTGCTCATTATGATATGTAGTGTCCACCAATATATCTTTTACTTTTGGTAAGTTTCCTTCAGCCACACCCATATCAACTTCATGCACTCACTTCCCTGGTAAGCTCTCCTCTACCAGACCTAATAACACAATATTTCTTATCTTTGCCTTATTATGAATGAAATGTAGTGAGTGCAGAATAGTAAAACCCTTAATGTTTACCTCTTGACACATTCCCCTCCACACACCACACTATTACATATCAGAGTACCTCCTAGTATAGCATTGTCGTTTTACTATTTATACATCTGAATTCTTATAAAAGTATGAGAATATAATTTTTAGTGATTTATATGATTTTATTATTATTATTTCATTATTATTATTATTATTATTATTATTATTATTATTATTATTATTATTATTATTATTATTATTATTATTATTATTATTATTATTATTATTGTTGTTGTTGTTGTTATTATTATCATCATTATCATTATTATTATTATTATTATTATTATTATTATTATTATTATTATTTATTATTATTTATTATTATTATTCAAGCAGTCTGTTCCCATTTTCAGTCAAATGTAAGGATTGATTATGATAGCATTCTCAACTTTATATTTTTCTGATACTCTGTAGTTGAGGTATTACAATGTGATGTATATCATGCAACAGAAGTGTAACCCAAAAAAGTATATGGCTGCACTAAGAACAGAGATTTTATAGGCCTTATGTTTGTATGCCTGAGATGGCTTTATTGTAATGTGTTAACTAGAGAAAATTTCTAAATGTTTTTATTGTTTGTAATTTTTCATTGCAGAAGAGGAGGGAACACAGGAGGTGGACGATATTATTAACTGGAAAATTCACTCAACAAAACAGTTATGCCATTTTAAGTATACTTGTATTGGTTTCATGTCGCATCTGTTGTCCTCTGAGAGCTTTATTGGCCAGGTAAGTCTTTTGATTAATATTTTGGTCTTTGTTAAAAAATTCAAAGATATTTTGTTTAAAGTGTATAATCAGTCATTTGACCTTTCACAATTGATGATAAAGGATGTGTCAATATGCAGTTTCTTAAATGCCAATGAATATATATATATATGTTCTAGGTGTGTGATAAGCCAGAAGGTCTTGATGGGGAGCTTCAGGAACTCTATCAGCAGCTCCTTGAAAAAACAATGTGTTTCCTACGGACTGTGAATGAGTTGTGTGATGCCAACAAAGAGAAACCTTCAGGTGAGCGTATATGTTAACCTGCTAAGTTTGCTAACTTAAGTATTCCCATAAATCTGGCTTTTAATTGTTAAAGGAGCATGGTTATATACATATAAATATGTAATTGTCTGGCTGGTAAGGCAAGAAGCAGAAGTATAATGGAGTAATGAATATGAGAGGAGTTAAAGATTTTCTTTCCTGATATATAAAATGTACTTTGTGGTGAAAAATGGGGGTGAATAAGGTACTGAACATCATTTATTGTTTTCTTTCACTACAGTTTTTTCACCTTTGTAAACAGAGATACAAGATTTGAGTATCACTATTTCATTAATTGTGGGGTCAGTCAGTATCATACAAGAAGGCCTATGTACCTTATTAAAATGTACATATTGTTAACTTGCATTCTAGATAGTGAAATATGTTAGAAGCAAATAAGAAGACTCTGGTAACATTTATCTTCTTCCCTATTCTTAAGGTAAATTCTGGAGTTCCTTACAACGGAAAGTAATCTCCGTGTTAGATGGAATCAATGCAGTTCTGCCTCCAAGCATGTTGTTAAAGGTTGTAGGTGGCCTGATGAAATCACCCTTGCCAGCGGTCAGGTGCAGAGCCATTGAGTTGCTCTGTGCAAAGCTTCAGCCAAATGCAAACTTCTTCAGGTATGGTTATTGTGTTCATTTTTAATGTTTTTGTTTTGCTTCATCAGCATTTATTATTTCATAACATGTCTTTTATATATATATATATATATATATATATATATATATATATATATATATATATATATATATATATATATATATATATATATATATATATTGTTATAGATAGGTAGATAGATATAAATTTCTTATGCATTTCTACTGAAGTCAGCCCTCCAAACCTCTTTCCAGGGCAGAAAATGTGGAGGACCTATTGCCTTTCGTGGATATACTGCAAAAGATTGGCTTCCCATCTGAGGAACTTGTAGAGACAAGGCAAACCAGTCTTTACGGTCTCCAGCTGCTCACAAAGTTCCTTTCTGCTCATGTTGATGCTAAAGTCCTGGAACCTGTACTGAATCTGAGCATCAGGATGGTCTGTTGGGGAAGTGAGTGGAAATTCTGTTTTATATACTTGTAGCTGGATTGGAAGATCTTTAATTGTATAATTGTTCACAAATAATGATAAGGCTAGTGGTATATGTTTGACAGTGATTATGAATAAAAACAATACCTTTCTTTTCCTCTTTGCCTCTTACTTTGTCATATTCTGTTTTTATTCTATCTTGTTTTCTTTCTTTTTTCACTTTCCCTCTTTCTTCTGTCCTTTCCTCTCTGCTTTCTCCCTCTCTCCCTCCTTACCTCTTCCACTCTCCTTTCCTACTTCTTCCTCTCTCCCTCCCTCCCTCCCTCCCTCTTCCTGTCTCACTCCCTCCCTCTTCCTGTCTCACTCCCTCCCTCTTCCTATCTTACTCCCTCCCTCTTCCCATCTCACTCACTTGCTCTTCCCATCTCACTCCCTTCCTCTTCGTCTCCCACTTCCTCTCTCTTCTTTTTCCCCATCTTACTCCCTCCCTCTTCGTCTCCCACTTCCTCCCTCTTCCTCTACCTCCTTCTTTCTCTCTCCCTCCCTCCCTCCATATTCCTCCCCCTCCCCCTACATAGTTGAAGGGATTTTAAGGAACTAAAAACCTAATTTCTCTCTTCCAGATGTTCCAGACAGGGTTGTGACGCAAGCACTCTTAGTTGTGGCCGAGTCAGTGGCTGCACTGAAGGCCATTGTAGTTCCTCGTCTTAGTCGCCTGTTACCTGCTATCCTCAAAGTACTCAGTGAAAACCAAGAAGCAGATTATCGTCTCCTAGCAGCTCTCACAGCCATACACAAGGTTATAAAGTGGACTTGAACCCGTAATTTTTATAGATGATACATAAAGAAAATTATTAGATATTAAGCTATATTTGCTAATGAATTTTTTTCTCTCTCAATTTCTCCATCTTTTTATTTTCTTTCAATGAGAAAGGTATGCCCATGGATTCTTTGGTGTTGCTAATCAACAAATTTTCCCAAACTCCCACAGCTTGTAGAGAATGTGCCACAGTTCCTGTCTCCCTACTTGACTCCTCTTGTATGTTGTGTGTGCCGCCTTTGTGTCTTAAAGGAAGACCCAGCTTCAAAGGAATCACGACTGCAAATTAGGCTTGCCGCAGTCCGAGATTTGTTGTCGGAGCACATTGAGCCTCGCATTTTTATACCTTGTCTTACCCAGGTGAGCCTAAAAAGATGATTCTAAAGTGTCCTAATGGATATGAGGGTTACATGCCTTGTTAAATACTTTTGTGTTAATATAGATTGAATATAATTGGAAAGTCTTTAGCTTTTGTTCCTTTTATGCAGTTTAGTATACTACACATTCTTATGAATACCATGTATTATTTTTATTTGTGTTTTCAAGAAATGTGCTCAGTATTGTGCAACCAGAGGGGGAAAAAAATCAAGCTTCAAAAATTTAATAAGACTGTATGAGGAAGCATTGGGGATATTAATGTTCTTTTGCTTTCCAGGCATATGAGAAGTTAGCCGAAAATGACATCCCTGCAATTCAGTTCTTGCTAGCAATTGCAGAAAACCTAATATCCAGAACTGATAGCAAAGCTCTGACTGTTCACATGCCAGTGCTGCTTAACTTGTTCTCAAAAACTTTAGAAATAAGAACTCAAAAGGTAATGTGATGTTGATATTAATGCATATTTTTAGTTAATGTGATACAGTATTAGAATATTGATTATTTAGATAATGATTTACTGTTATCAACATCAGTCTCAATAATTTTATCATTGACAGCTAACAACTCTTTGCTTATTGAACCACCTTCATTCCAGGGAGACTCAGAAGTTATCATTAAGGTGGAGACAAGCATAATTTCAACAATGGTCAGATTGCTGCTTCGGCTCAATGAACACGACAACATGGCCATCTTCAACTCCCTGCAGAGATGGGCAGTTGATTCATCTGACGATAATCCCACCAGATTGATTACTTTCTATCGGTGAGTTTGGCCTTTTTGACAGTCATGTGCTTTTCTGTTATGGCGAACAAATCAAAGGATAGTTGATTGTTTACCTTAATGATGGGGTGAAAAGCTAAAATATTCATGATGGAGATGGCACCACTAATAATAATGACTTTAATATTGAAGAGAATTTAGAATTTAAGATCAAAATTTTCATATGCTTTTTAAAGCATCAGGAACTTTTTATCTAGATTTGACCAACCTCTGAAAAAGAAAGACTACTAAGAAATCTCACATTCATTTTCCAGGTTTGCTGATCAATTAGTAGGCACTTTGAAGGTGCTCTTCATAAAGGCAAAATTAGCAGATAGTTTATATAGCCATGCAGTGGCCATGCTGGAGAGAAACAACTCGCTCAACCACCATAGCACTGTAAGTGTAAACATGGTTGTTGTCATAGTTGTTATTATTATTATGTCATTGTTGCTTTGATAATGTTTATCTGAACATGATAATTAATATGATTAGATTGTACCATGTTTTATGTTTTATTTATTTGTCTTAGATATTTGGAAGTGATGAAGATGCAGAAAAGAAATCATCAGTCCTCATCAGTGTTATCTTGGATACGCTTACCAAAGTCTTTACGTATGATTCTGTCAGCTTCATAAATCAAGAAAGGTTTAAGATGATGGTTAAACCGCTGATTGACCAGGTAAGCATTTTTTTTTATTGTTATCTTTTAATGACTTGGCAGAAAATGTGTGTATATATAATAAGTCATTTATGCTGGAGAACATTTTATCCCAGATAACAAAGTTGTTTTTGTGTGTGTGTGTGTGTGTGTTGTGTGATTGAGAGTGAGAGTGAGAGTGGGGTAGAGTAGTGTGAGTGAGAATCTTCATTTCCACATTGATAGCTCCACAAGTGCTCACCCACTGAGAAGCTAGTTAGTAAATAAAAGGATAAACAGGTGATCTTAGTAGGACCAACAATGAACTCCTTGATGATTAAGTACTTTAGGAACCATCTTTTTTTTTAAAGACAATCAGTAAACAAAAAGACAGTGGACATGACATGTATTCTCAACTAACCTATCAACAAAGGGTTAAAAAATTTAATTGTGCATTAATGTTTGCTTTTGTTTTTCTTTGGGTAATTTGTTTTTGTAAGGAGACTTAGAAGAAAATTAATAGGATTTATTTTGTAAACTGTTTTAACAATGTCAGTAATTTAGTAAAGAAACTTTTAAATACTCAAGAAAATGATATTTCAAAAAACATTCTCTTCCATTGCAGCTCGAGAACAAACATGGAGGAGAAGAGGCCTACAAGGACCGTGTGAGCAACCACTTGATGCCATGTGTAATTAAATTCACTGTAGCAACTGCCGACGACTCATTATGGAAGGAACTCAACAGTGAGATTCTCAAGAGAGTTAGAAATGAAGATGATACCCCAGTAAGTCATCAGCTTAGAACTCCCTGTTATTTAATGTTACAGTCACTTATTATAACAGAAAGTAGGATTAACTCCTTACACTATTTTTGTTCCCAAAAAATTAATCTAGACAAGAGTAAGGTGAAATCTGAATCTTGGTAGTTATAATACACTTGTTACTAATGCATTGTGCAAGGCAAAGCCAGCATCTCTGTCTCTAAACTTTGATCTGTGTTCCCTGTCTGCTAGAAATCATAGTTGATGTTTCATTAGATAAATATGTCGTACAACCATACAATCTTTGAGATTGTATAGATTTTACAGTATGTTCTAAGACAAGGTCTTATTTCTTCCCACAGGTAATTCTTGCAGCACTCACTACTTTCGAAGGTCTTGTGGACAGCCTTGGTGAAGACTACCTCCAACCTCTGCTAGCGGATACAATGCCTTACATCACAGAGGTTCTGGAGAATGTAGATGATGATGTAGAGGAAGCTTCTAGGAATGTGTTTTCCAAGATGGAATCTATACTGGGGGACAATTTAAGAGCATATCTAAATGAGTAACTGAATACTGTGTAGGTAATAAATTTGGTACAAAAAATAAGTGTTTCTTTTTCAACTCACTCCTGCAATCTCTTGATATCCACGACTGTTTTTACTTACACACTGCATTGTTTGCAAGTTTTTAAAATCTAAAATACATCAAGAATGGTGAAATGATACCCTTGCTGACCTCAAGACAATTCACAAAATTTTAGCTGAGAAAAGCGAAAAAAAAGAAAGAAATTGGTTTTCCCATTACATTGTAACCCATTCCTGATATTCACATTCTCATCTTGATGCCATTGCTGTTATTAGGTATGAGATGTAAGGGATAAGAAAAGTAAATTCGATGAAAAAATACCTGAAACCATGGTATAATGGGAAACTAGAGAAAGCGAAGCAAAGAAGGAAAGAAGAACAGTAAGAAAATATATCCATACAAGTCTAGCGAGTGTGATCAATCAGGGCATGAAAATTAAAAATAAATAAAACAACTAAATTAGTGTTCGAATCACTATATACTATAATCATAGTTAGAGTATGACATACAAAAAATAAACCGATAATTACTGTGTATAATATTAAAAGCTAATAAAGAACTGTTGTACCTTCCCCAGCAAACGTTAATTTAGATACGGTAAATATGAATAAAATTAAGTTTGCTTATTTGGCATTACAATCGCATTTAAATAGATCCTCTCGACATTAATGGGTATTATGTTGTTGGTTATTCCGGGCACCTTTTGTTACAAAGAACTTCGTTTCAGTTTTACGTAACCCAAAACACGTAGTGTCGAAACTGGCATTCATGAACTCTACATACTTCAAACGCGTCGATTTTCTTTAGTTATGGATCTAGAACAAGATCAGTGGGATTGTAATCACAAGTATGCAAGTTTAAGTTTAATAATTGATCAACAGTTCAGTAATCGCCTTGGCTCATTACGAAAGAGTGCAGTATAAACTGTAAATTAGGAATAATAAAGCTACATTAACTTCATCTTCTCCCAGCCACGCCCTTGAACATTTTACATTTTCTTTATGCAATATGCCCCAGAGAGAAACATATTTTTTTCAGATACAGTTCATATGAATATTGACTTAATATTCTTAAACATTTTTATTGGTCACTTTATCAGAAATATATATCATTACATTAGTAAATCCACTTCATTTTACGGGATCACTAAATGAAATATTGCATATAGAAGGTGTGCACATTTTTCAATTTGTTATCAAACTTTCACATCTACATAACGTATTCATTGTACTCAGATACTCATACCAATAAATATCTAAATTTACTAACCATTAAGTAAACCTTGGATAAGACCGCAACCGCTCGGAGGTGAAGGGAACCCCGGGCCTATAACTCGCCTGTTGAGTTGAATTATTGTCTTAATTAAACCATACTGCAACCAACAAAGACTAATGACAGATATTACACTGGTGATAATTTCCCCCACCATCCGAGACTCATGGAACCAATTTACTCGGAGGATTTAAAAAAAAAAAAGTGCATGCACGATACGTTTAAATAAAGCACGTCTGCTGTCGGGCTCGGATATAGTTCAAAAAAGTTCCCGCGTGCGTGAGAAAACTCAGAACTTCTTAATCACTCCCAGGTGGAAAGTTTTTGCTTTCATTAACGTTGTCTGCTCATTTGTTAAGAAAATTCCCCATGTGTTACTAGAGACGAGGTGTGAAATGCCCATCTAGCATTATCTTTCATACATTAAAATGCCGGCAAAATGTTAATCCTCCGTGTAAGCTCCTTTTCAGTCAGTTTAAGAAATCATTAATTAAAGTGAATTTATACTGTTTACGAAAATAAGAGGTACGCGGTAATAAACTGTATTGAGCTTGTATTCGTGATCAGAACAGCGAAATTCCTTAATAATCAATATGTCGCCTCGGAAAACGAAAGACAGACCCGCAGACACAAGCCGAACTTGCGTACTTCCGCGCTTGGTGTTCTGGTCAAATTTTATTATCTTTGTACGTATGTCGACGAATAGTTATTCAAGTTAATTGATTACAGACATAATTAACTCGCAAGGCAGTATTTTCGACATATCACGGTTTTAAAGTTGGAGTGCGCGAGCCCGCCTCCCGCCCGTGAATGGTCGCAGAATCTTGAGTCTTATTGATCTCTGTGTGAAGGGGGGTGGGGGCTGGGTAGGAGGAAGGGAAGGGGAGTAAAATAGAGAGAGGGGAGGGGTAACGGGACATCAGTCGAGTGGGGGAGTAGGAGGAGGGGTGGGAGGAGACAGAGGGGGGCGTAGAAAAGAGAGAGAGAGAGAGAGAAGTGAGGGGAGGGGTGGGACGGAGAGGGGTTTGTTGTGAGGGGGAGTAGGAGGGGCTCGCGTGCGGGGTTGGCTGGATGGTCTGGCCGTCCCCTCGCCGTCCAGAGCTTCACTCCCTTGGCTGGCGTGCGCGGCCTCTGACACAGCCTCGACGCCACGGCCGCGACAGACACACACGCGCTGGTCTTGGCTTGTGGCCAGTGTGACGTCACCTATCCTCCTGTGACGTAATTCACGGAGGTCAAGGCGACGCTTGCCACGTTGATCATCACTGGTTAACGGTGGGTCCTTTGGTCGGAAGTCTCGGCATATCAAAATTTAGCTGACGGAAAGAAAGAGTTTTGTGCGCTTCCCGACGCGTCGTTGTCCCGAAAAACGCGCGGTAAACGTGGAGATCTAGCCTTCTCGCGCGCATTGGTCGCGGCCTTTGCAAACAGGGTCAACACTTTTGTATTTTGTAGCTTAGGCACGAAATATATGCTTATTAAGGACATACATATCTTAGCTAGCCGGGAATCTCTGTGCTGTGATTTTTGAGTCCCGGGAACTCTGTGATATTTTACCAAATTTGCTTTTAAAAGCAACATTCATACATATCGTGTGCTTTTTGTTTTTGGTCAAAACGCGACTTGGCCGCGTTTTTGGTGATCTTTCGAATTTTGTTTTGGATTTCGCGGGCTTTAGTGGATGTCACTACGTTTATCTTTGTTCTATTTTGGGCCTAAATAAACTAGTGGTAAGATTCCTTTTTGTGATTCAAAACCGCTACAATGAAATCCTTCGGAAAGATGTTTAAGCGTAAGAAGGGCGAGGGAGAACCCGAGGAGGAACAGCAACTGCAACAGCAACAATCAGCTGATAGTGACGTGGGCGGAGAAGCCACGCCCCGTGACCTAAGTGCCCTGGGACCTGCGGTGGGCGACGGGGTGGACCTGCCGCATGCGGACCAGAGCGGCGACGATGACAGTCCTCCCCCGCATCCCCCACCTCCACCCCCACCCCCTATGCCTGGAGACAACACGGGTAAGTACACATTATTGGCATTTACGGCCACAGTCTACGATTATTCATAACTCACACTGTGTTCTCTCACAATACGGTACTGTTTTGCTCAAGCTATCTTGCAGGTCTTGCAGATATTTCTCGTAAGCCGCCCAAAGGGAACCGACCATCTGTTCGTGATTGTATGGAACCACCTTTAAGAGCTGTCTCAGTCTTGATTTAGTCTCCCTTCACGCACAACTGTTCCTAAAATACCTTAGCAACATGTGTTCAAGATCTATAACACTGTTTATCACAGATGAGGTAATATCCACGTTGTGCGACTTATATCCATCCACTTTTCCCACACATGCACACATACAAACTGGCCCACTCAAATCGTACAAACACACGTTCTTACCGAAAAATAAAAACGCTAATAAACATGTCCGAAAATGCTCATTACTAAAAAAGAATTAAAACCGTATGTATTAATTAAACACAGCAGTGAAAATATGATGGAAATTAGAAAGGAAAGGAAAGCTACCGGAACCGATTTCTCTCTTCTGCTTACTTGAATTATCCGCTTCCCCCCCCCCCGCCAAACTCTTCCACCCGGCTGCAGACATCCCCGCCTATTTTCCTCGATCCTTAACTTCGTCGTCTACTTTTTTATTGTAAACTATATTTATTTTGCATTTCATAGAATTGTCTCGTGGATATATCAAACTCTTGGCCAGCACTTTGTTTCAGTTATATGCCGAATCATTAAATTTTCACCTAAGCTTGTTAACGATTTCTTTATAAAACACCAAACTTCACAACCAAGGTACACATGTAGGGAGACTTCGAACCAGGAACAAAGAAAAAAAAGAAACAGCAGTATTGATTCAAACAGGTCAAGCAGTTGCATGAGCGTGGAGCAGGTCAGACAGGTTAACTTTTATATAGAGTTAGGTAGGTTAGGAATCGGCAAATGGCACAAGTGAGAACGAAACGGAATTGAACAAAGGGATAAGATATCGTACCTTCAAAATAACAAATTTGCTCTAATCCTCTGCTTCTTTAAGAGTCACAGTTCAGTAATATTTAACACGAAAGATTAAGCATCACTTTATACCTTCAGAAACTATACTGTCTATCTTACTTACAGGCGAGGTCTGGCCCCGTCCGTGTTATTGGAGCATATGGATTTCTCTTGAATTCCTTTCAAGTTGATAGACCGAATGGGCGGAGTTTCGTTCAGTCACGGAATGATCATTCATCCGACATCGTTACGTTTTATTGATTATTTTGTAGAATAAAAAGAAAAGAGGAAAAAAGGGAGAAAGATAAAAGAAAAGAAATAGACGTAACATTCCCCACAGACTTAATAATCTGGTCAGTGCACTAACCGCGTTGAGGATCAATTCCTATTCAGCATTAATTAAACATGTTCTGCTAATTATCCACCAAGACCTAATTAGCAACGCTGACCGAAAAATCACATGGATTCTTTTTGTATTGTTGCTGATATCCGGGGACGCCCATTGTTATCATATATATATATATATATATATATATATATATATATATATATATATATATATATATATATATATATGTATATATATATATATATATATATATATATATATATATATATATATATATATATATATATATATATATATATATGTATATATATATATATATATATATATATATATATATATATATCTATATATATATGTATATATATATATATATATATATATATATATATATATATATA